TTTTTGAAGTTATTCCATCCTATCCGTAGTTTGTCTGCCACTTGTCAGGTCCGGACAAGCTGCAATCATGCAACTATAGAAAGTAAAAAAGGGGCGCAACGCAACATTGATTTGACCCCCAACTTTTATGCTGACCCCACCAACAGGCAGTCAGGTGCAGATTATGCAGCACCTGGCCTTAGCCTAAGGACAGGTGCATGTTTAGCGGCCCATTTGCTGAATATGATGTTTTTGCCACAGCCTATCTCCCCTTTTCTTTATTATCATTTTTAAGCCACCAGTACCTTTCCCAGCCATTTTTCTACAACCGCGTCTGGCAGGATGTACCGGTCTGCTGGTTGGAAAAAAAAACTCAAAAAGATGCATCCATGCAAAACACTCCGCGTGCATGGCCTGTTTTGCCTGCCTGGATGTACTTTTTGCCAATCGGCGGCCCGGTACATCCTGCGAGACAGTGCGCGGGCACTGCCTCCTCATCATAGAAAAGAAAAATGGCTGGGAAAAGTACTGGTGGTTTAAAGTTTAAAACTTTAAACACAAAGGGTGATGGATGTGTGATGTCGAATACAAGACTCGAACACACAACCAAGGGCTTGGCTGGCTAACACCTAGTAACCATAAGGCTAAGTGGGCTGGTGTGAAAGTGAAGCCCCAAGATGAGCACTTCACCCCACCCCAGCACGGAGATCCCGCGACACGGTGTACCCAACCACACATCCTACACAGCCACATGGCCTGTAGTATAATCTCTCTTTTTTTTTTTTTTTTTTTTTTTTAACAAAAAAAACAAGCTCCATCTGTTGGTGGGGAGCACTAAGGCGGGTACTGCGTGAAAGCACATGATGTCGAATGCAAGACTCGAACATACAACCAACGGCTTGGCAGGTTAGGACCTAACCATAAGGCTAAGTGGTGAGACTGACCAGCCCCAGGTGATTCAGAATTATGTCCAAGTTCTTACATCCATCTAGTTCCGGTTTCGAAATCAGGACCTGGGGCAAGGTCCCACTAGCAAACAGGATAGGATTTTTGAAGGTTGGAATCTGGATGCGTTTGCGGAAAAGTGCAGAATCTCACGATAGATCTGCTGTTCTGCATCGCTGTGTAAAACACGTCCAGATTCAGGCGGTTAATCCAATCCTCTTTGCAAGTGGGACCTCCCCCCTGGTCTGAGGAGAGAATTGCAGCACACTGGTAGCAGGGGAACTATTGTGAGTGCCAGCAGAGGGCAGTGTCACCCATCAGAGGGGGCTGGTTGTGCCCGCCTTGGGCTTCCTTGAATAATTGAGAAAACCACAGACCTTGGTGTTTTAGGGTTGTGATCCGCTGACGTTTTTTTTTTTTTTTTTTTTTTTTTTTTAAGCCCAGGGTGTTGTAGAGGCCAAGGACCAGACCTGTAGTGATTGCTGGCAGCGGCAGCCAATGGTTGTTCTGACAGTATAGGCCACCTACCCTACCCATCCCCACGTTAATACTTGTGCTCCACTGACGTCACTGATTTTCGCGGTAGGCCAGGTATTCACTGACGAATCAGGATTGTTTTCTTCCCAAAGCAGGCGCAGCAATTTTCGCCGTTCTTCCGTTCAGAGAGTGGGATCACGTCGGGGGGCAAAGTACCCCGCGACGCTCATCAACTTGGAGAAGAAGCCGTTGCAAAGTCTCGATGGCAAAGTATCCACTAAAAGGCGGTGCAACGCATCTGACCACGATTCTGGCCCAGCTCCAAAACATGTGTAGTATTTGTCCTAAGATCAGGGCACCAACCTCGTAATACCCCCAAAAGGGCCACCTTTCACCGCTTTGCGCCTAATTCACCGTAATACCCCCAAAAGGGCCAGTAGGTGGAGCCCCAATACCCAAAAATAATGTAATGACACTGGGTACTCGCCATGCTTGACTGACTCTGAAGACTTTCTCCGAAGTCAGTTCAGTGGAGCACAACCCTTAGACAAATATGATCCATCATCGTCGAGGGATACCAGGCTCTTTAGCTTGTCTGTAGCCGCCAGTTTTCACAGCCCATTCCTAGCCGGTTTCCCCCTGCATCTGTTTCCTTTCTTCTCCCTCCCCCCCCCCGCCCTGCATCTGATTCCGTCTTCTTATTCCTCCCCCCCCTCCCCCTCCCCTTGAGCCATTAGAGTGTGACTAATATGCTGTTGTCCGGCGGCTGGAATGGATCCGGGAACTCCGAGGCAGGGCTCATAGGCAAGCAGCAATTTGAAATTGCAGATGAACCCCTCGAGGTGTTGCAAACTCCCTCTCCACCCATGCGATCTCCCTGGGGTCAAGTCCCACTAGCAGCATTGAACTACCTCAACGCCTGAATCTGGACGTGTTTGTGGAGATGTGCAGTTCAGGAAACTCGACACCATTTCTGCACATCTCCACAAAAGCGTCCACATTCAGGCGTTGAGGTAGCTCTTTTTTTTTTTTTTTTTTGAAAAGGGCCTAGTCAAGAAGGCCGTTATTACCAATAAGAAGATTGAGGCCGGGGTCGTCACAGTCTACCCGGAGTGACCGAACCGAACTTGCTGAGAACAGGGCTCACCATCCCTCATATGATGATGATGATGATGATGATGAACTTCTACCTTTTTTTTTTTTTTTTTTTTTTTTTGTTTTAATGCCGCTAGTGGGACTTGGCCCCTGGACTCTGGGTTGATCAGCCATTCGTCGCAGAATTCATTGATTTTTGTTTTGTTTGTTTTTCTTGTTTGTCACTCAGATACTGTATGCTATCCAGCATTGTTTGCCATTCTTAGGTATTCAACTAGTAATTAGAACCGATACCACACTCGATCTTAGCTAAAAGGCTGAGTTTGTAATTCTCTCGGTATACTCGTACTCGTTTGGATAGATGTTATGATATTCTCCCTAAGGCTTGTCTTGTGGTGTGGTTGGACATCATACCATTCGTGAGCACTAAGGACTTCCCATAACTTATCTGGGTCGCAATTGCACCAAATTCAGTGGAGAAAGTCCCGTGTAAGTATTGCTGCCGTTAGTTCACTCCGCATGAGAGGACGCAAAATTTGGTGCCACGTCTGTATGGAGGCCCCTCTAGCCAAGAGGTAAACAGGTAGGCACGTAGGTAGGTAGGTGGGTTGGTATGTAGGTAGGTAGCTAGCTCAGGAGGGAGGGATGTAGGTGGGTGGGTAGGTAGGCAGGCAGGGAGGGAGGTAGGGAGGCAAGAAAGGGTAGGTAGGTAGGAGGGTAGGTCATGTAGGTAGGTAGTAGGTAGGTGGGTAGGTGGGTAGGTAGGTGGGTGGGTGGGTAGGTAGGTAGGTAGGTAGGTAGGTAGGTAGGTAGGTAGGTAGGCAGGCAGGCAGGGAGGGAGGGGGAGAGGGAGGCAAGAAAGGGTAGCTAGGTGTGTAGGTAGGTAGGTCGGTGGCTCAGTGGTTAGGGCACCGGTTGTCTATGCGCATTGTGGTCTGAGGTTATGGGATCGAAACTCCACACCTCTGCGCAGAGACACCGGCGGGCGTTTACATAACACACGGTCGCTTGCATGCCCCCTCGGGCTGACGCAGGTACAAGCTATTACAGACACTGCCTGCGCACCATCCAAGGGATTGTATGTTGGGTCCTGGCCTATGAGGGGTTTGCCTGATACAGTTGATGGTCTAATGGGGATACAGGAAGTTGAACGGGTTTGTGGATAAGACTGCTCATGTGTGTTGGTTACCCTAGGCTCTGCTTTGTTGGGGGGGGAAGGACCTTAGGTGGGATGGGGTCCCATTTGGGGGGAGGGTTGGCTTGGGACAAGCTCTGCTGGAGGATATCGGTGGGGAACCTGCAGCAGTGGATTGCCGTAAAGGATCCCGGAAGGAGGGGTGTTAGTAGACAGACTCTGGTGGAGGAAATCGTTGGCGAACCTGCAGTAGGGGGGCGCTGTCTGAGGGGGATCCTCCAAGATAGGATGGTCTGCGTCCCATGAATAAATTTTATTAGTTGCTGACTGTAGATAGGTACCTGTTATGGGTCCAGAAACCGACCTCTACAACACCTTGGACTTAAAAAAAAGGTCAGGGATGGAGGTAGGGAGGCAAGAAAGGGTAGGCAGGCAGGAAGGGAGGGAGGTGGGGAGGCAAGAAAGGGTAGGTAGGTAGGTAGGTAGGTAGGTAGGTAGGTAGGTAGGTAGGTAGGTAGGTAGGTAGGTAGGTAGGTACGAAGGGAGGGAGAGAGGGAGGGAGGGAGGGAGGGAGNGGGAGGGAGGGAGGGAGGGAGGGAGGGAGGGAGGGAGGGAGGAAAGAAGATGACCACCCAAAGTATAGCATAACTGACAGTGTCACAAGTAACTAGCAAAAGAAGTCTGTGAGCATGAATGCATTTGTAAGTTGGGAGTGCTTGCCTGATCCAGAGCATGTGGTCAATATCATGATTCAGTCATTCTGGATTATCTGTCAAGTTTCGAATTGTTGGCTCGATAGTCTTAAGGACTGATTACAGTGATTAGTGTCATGTCATAAGATCATGGCTCATTTGAAAATTGAAGTTCAAAGTTTGCACTTTAAAGTTTAAACACAATAACTTTTTTTGAACATGTTTCTCCCCCTTCTTTTTATTTACTTCATGTAAAAAGGAAAGGAAATAAAATAAAATTAAAACGAAGGGACGCAAGGTATATAGATAAGAAGAGTTCAAAAAGGAAACACAACTGAAAGTAATCACTGCACTGTGATTTGCACAATTTACCTCCGACTTATATCACACCGTCATAATTCCTGTTTTTTGTAATTAAGAGTTGTCCAAATTCTCAAGTTGTAAAATATGAAATATAGAAATAAAGAAACGACTGCTGTTTCTCTGAAAACAATCCATCATATTCCCCCGTAGCCTCGTACTAACCCGTTTCCTCTCTCTCTCTCTCTCTCTCTCTCTCTCTCTCTCTCTCTCTCTCTCTCTCTCTCTCTCTCTCTCTCTCTCTCTCTCTCTCTTGTGCGTGTGTGTGTGCATGTGTGTGTGTGTGTGGTTGCTTGCATGGGCACTGCTGACATCAGGAGAGCGAGGACTGCAGACTTCTTATTGGAAAGAACACACGGAGTCTTTGTCCATCGAGGCAATGATGCTTGACAGCCAGGCATCCAAGTTAGACAAGGAGGAGAGGCCAGAGGTCAGTGGGACAAAAAAAGCTGACAGTGTGCGCTCGCTCAGTTCCGAGTTCAATTTTTGGTGCATCCAACCCAATTGGGTCCTTGCTTTACTGATCATTGATCAAGATGAAAAAACGGCGATGTTTGCTCCTAGTAGCAGGCTAAAAGTGCTGTAGAGTTGGAAGTTGGAATTGGCAGAATAGTACGTCGGGTGGTGGTCATGACGATGATGACGGAGCTGCGTTTGTGCGACTTTCAAATCAGATTCTGCGTTCGTGCGACTTTGGATCTGTGTTTGCGCAACTTTGGATGCTCCTAGTTTCGCCAGATCACGGAATACATACGTATATGACCTTCCCGGAGAAGGACTGAGTTTGTGAGTGAAGTGTGAGGCTTGCTCTCGAGTACGAGGAAGAAAGGGAAGATCAAGTGAAATCTGAAAAAGGCTTATTGCATTCTATCTGCAATCATTGTGTAAGGAAAGAAAGAAGGAACTTCAAGCAAGTCGTAGAGGGGTTGTGGCAACTTGTGGGCTTGGGGGCGATGGTGGTCGGCCCGGGGGGTAAGGGGGGGGGAGGGGGGTAGACGGGGACGGCACAAACCCCAATCTTGGGGCTTAAATCAAGAATAAACTTGAAGAAAGAACAGTTTTTATTGTTCTTTGTCCTTGCCCTCTCCCCATGGCCGTGTTCAGTTGATGTTCCGTGGGAGAGGTGCGATCGGCTTTAGTCAGATGGCAAGGACAATGCTTGTCGGCTCCATCTGTCATTACTAAATCTTGAGTCGACAGGCATTGCTTCAAAGAAGAAGATTCTGAAGAGGAGGTGGAGAAGGAGGAGGAGGATGGCAACAATCACTGCGATGATGACGATGACGATGGTGAGAAGAAAGAGGAGGAAAAGGAAGAGGGGAAGGAAAAGAGGGAGAGTTGAGATACGCTGAGTTGGACGGCAAGAATCATGATGGCGATGATGATAAGAAAAAAAAAGGGCAACGAAGGGGAGAGCGGGAGCAACAGACGGAAAGACGAGGTTGCCTTAGTGTAATCTGAGGTGGAAGAGGAGTATTGTGGCATGTCGGAGGACCCTGCTCACATTCAGGTCGAGGGCCCAGACACCTTTTGGGGCGGAGGGGGCCAGGGTACACCTTGGCCGCCGCGCATCATCCCGCACCTACGGGCAGTCCTGACTTCACATTACTCTTATTCTGTTTTTTGTATCAATAGTTGGCTGAATTTTGTCATCAACGAGGACGGGGGACGTACGATATGGAGGAGAAAGGGGGGGGAGGGGGGGGAAGGGAGCACAATTTGTCTTGTGTTGGCACTCAGTCTGCTATAATTAGGGAGGAAGAGGGAGCAGGGGAAGAGAGGTCGAAGGAGAAGTGAGGAAAAGGAGAGCAGAGGAGGAGGAGCAGAAGGGAGGAGAGAGGACAGATACTAGATAGAAGACAAGAAACACAACAAGTCTTCGAGAGAATGGACGGGGACGCCTCACACTTGCTAACATTGTGATGTGTATTTAGTATTTACTCTCCAGGACCTATGTTTGACTTTGTGCTGTCACTGCTGTGGTACGGAAGCTCCTTTTTTTTCTTTTTTTTTTCCAATGATTATTGTGACACTGAGGCTCCTATGTTTGTGTTTGTGCTGTTTGCTGCATAAATTAAATGGGGCTGTTTTGTCTTGTCCTGCCCACTACAGATATTGGGCATGCTACCGGACTTCAAGGACAAACATGTTCTAGAGCTGGGGGCTGGCCTTGGACGATTCACTGTTCCCTTAGCCAAAGACGCTGCCCATGTCACCGCGGTCGACTTTATCGAGAAGGTCATTATGAAGGTATATATATATATATAGGGTTCAGCCTCCTGATGAGTCGGTGAAACTCCAACGAAACAGTTTGTCACAGCCCCTCATTTGTTGTCCTCTTCTCCCTCAGAGTCTCTGCCTACGGTTTACTGTAGGCAGCTCTGTTTGACTATATATAAACTATTATAATATATTATATAGCTTTCTCGAATGAATCTGGTCACAATTGCAATCCAGGACCTATGCATCCATCCGGCAGGGTTAGAATTAATGTGTTTGCTGTTTGCTGTGGATTTTGTCAGTCATAAAAATTCAAAATCATCACAGACAAATTGAAAAAAATGGCAAAAAAAAAAAAAAAAAAAAGTCAAAATGATAAAATAGGTTTCGTAAATGATTTAATGTCAAACCAGTGACGGTACACGAAACCGGCCATTTTTGTTGTATTCTCTTTGCTCCTCTTTTTCACAGATTAATAGCCCACAGTTTGTGGGGATACCTGGGCGGCGAATGAATGGTGCAGATGTAGAGCTGCTGATCTAGTCACAGATTAATAGCCCGAAAATCCTGCCCTGTGGACAAATGCCTACCGGCTAATATGTGACATTTTGGGGGGGAAGGAAAGCGGGGAAGGGGGAGGGGTGGGGGGTGGAAGGGGCTGAGGGCAGTCGAAGGAGGTACAGTGTGGAAATGTCTGCTTGCTATTCGGCTTGGGGCCTGTGTGACTTATTGGCCGAGAGGGAGGAGAGGGTGGGGAGTGGTGGAAGGGGGAAGGCGGAATGCGAAAGCGGAATGCGAATTCAAAGCGGAAAAGGTCGGTTGGAGGGGGCTGCCGTGCCAAAAATGACTACTCAGGATTTGGCTTTGGGGCTATGTGACTTATCGGGCGTGGGATGGAGCTGGGGCGGGGGCGTTCCGAAGGCGTAAAAGGGGGGCTGGAATTTGGGAGGGGCTCCCGCGCAGCAATGTCTACTTGATATTGGGGCTTGGAGAGGAATTTGGGAGCTGAGAAATGTTACTCGGGGGCTATGTGACTTATTGGGGGTGGGTTTGAGGTGGGGGGCTCGGAAGAGTTAAAGGGGGCTCCGGCAGAAGGGGCTCCCGCGCAGCAATGATAGTGGGCTTCGGGGAGGAGGAAATTTGGGAGCACAGAAATGTTACGGCCTCCCAACTTCCTCCCCCAACCCCAATATGTCAACATAGACTAAGTACATCGTCCCCAAAATCATGTCAGTGCAGAAAGCCACGATCTGCGTAGTCAAACTCTCTGTTCTTCTAGCGAAGGATGTGTAAACCTTCTCTGAGACTCCGTGTTCTGTTGTACTCTGTTCTTTGAGGACTCTGTGACCTTTCCTTGAGTGTTCTGTTGCATTTTCTCCGACAATAAGTGGTTTGTTAGCGACAATGTGCTGTGCCGACTCGTTAGGGAAGGAGAGGGGGAGGGAGGGAGGGAGGGAGGGAGGGAGGGAGGGAGGGAGGGAGGGAGGGAGGGAGGGAGGAAGGAAGCCAAACTGTTTGAAAGTTGACACTCGTTGAGAGTGTTGTCATTAAAATTTGCAGCTGGAGTGGAGACTTGTCTGTTTTTCTGAGACTCAAAACTTGTGTGAGGTGTTTGGTGTTCTGAGATTCAGACTTGTGTGAGTGAGTGGGTTGGAATTCATCAGACTCGGTCAAAAAGTTTCAGTCTCAACGTTTTTTTTTTTCCTGAGTGGTGGTGGTGTAACCGTTTGTATTTTTTTCTAAGGCAACCTTTTTTTTTTTGTTTTTTTCTGACTGGGTGCAGAATAAGGAGCAAAATGAGCATCTCGGGAACATCGATTTCAAGTGCGCAGATGTGGCGTCTAAGGACTTCCAGATTGAGCCCTCCTCCATGGATCTGGTCTTCACCAACTGGCTGCTCATGTACCTCGGAGATGACGAGGTAAGCATGCACTTGGTCGCTATTCAAGTTATGGTTCGCAGTCTTTGTCCACATTTGGACACCCATATACACATGATGACACTGGTGCTGCCGCTGAGTCGCTGACATTTCCCCTCTGCTGTAACCGTTGCGCTCTGCACGCGGGGATCATGGTGATCTTCATGGTGTTTGCTAAAGTCTTTCCTACCCCCTCAACGTCTCACTGCGCGCGTTTAGTTTTTCTGGCATTGAATTTTTCTATCCCTCTTTTCTAAAGGACCAGTATGCCCTAGCCTAGCCTCTTTTCATCATCATGATGCCGGATTCGGCGAACTGTGCGCCAAGCCTTGCCCAGCTTCCAGCTGCACACTTTTTTTTTTCTGGCGTCACAAGCCATTGTGGGCTGGCATGGGGTGGCAACCCCGAGCCCCTGAGATTTTCAGATAGGCTCGATTTTTCCAGTCCTTCCGCTGGCGCTGGGGGTATATACTGCAGCTGCGGTATGTTTTGAGGATCATTCTTCATTTGCACAGTTTGGAGTACGTGCGTGTTGAGTCTGCGTTAGAGCTGCGCTGTCCTTTCCAGCTCCATCTCTTATCTCCATCTCCGTCATCCCTTCGTCTTGATCCTGACGGAACACCATCCCCGGCGGGTCCGTCACATTCTAGTACTTGCTAGGCTTCCCACTCCATGATGTTGCGTCCTCGGAGTCGTCTGTCTCAGAGGTTTGAACCTTTGTCTTGTCTTCTGTGAATCTTTTGAGTGCAGTTATGATAAAGAGGATTTTAAGTCCTTTTGAAATTCCTTCTTGTGAGTCTCTCGCTCTACGTCTGCCTGTTCATGGAGAATCGAACTCTTGTCTTCTTCTTCGAGTCCTTGAATTACCTCTAAGTCCCAAGTCCTCTTGAGTCTTTCTAAGCCATTGCCGCCTCTTTGGTGACTCTTCTGAGACCTTACAGATTGAATTTCCTCTTTTTTTTTTTTTTTTTGGGGGGGGGGGGGGGGGGGGGCGGGCTGCACCGTAATACTACTACTGTCTGCGTCTTCCTCCCGTCAGGATTTGAACTCGTGCCCTGTTCGTTCACAGGATTAGCACTCACTGCACAGCCACATGCTGTGGGGAAGTCTTCACAGTCGCCTCTCCTTACTTACTTTCTTTGGGTTTTCTGAGCATTCAGCGTTTTCTGCGCTTTCTGCGCTTTGAGAGTTTTCTGACTGCAGTCTCAGACTTAGGGGCTGATCCGACTACTGCTACGGAGCGTAGTCTACTGGTATTGACGGGATCCGACTACTCTCCGATTTCGTAGGTCTCCCCGTCGAGTTCGGCATCAAGTGAAAACAAAAGTGTACGTGGCAGGTGTTCCGCGACCCGCGGCAAAAAAGAAGTTGCCAAAATCGGTAGAAGCCAGCACCGTCCCCGCATCGAAAAAGGGTTTTTTTTTTTTTTTTTGGTTTTTCTTGTGTCCGGTGGTCCGCCTTCGTCTGTTCGATGCTGGGCCTGCATGCCCCCCCTACGATTACCCTGCACGAACTCCGAAAAAGTCCCGCCCCAACCGGGCAAGTGGGATGCAATTTCGCTTTTTCGGTCCAACCGGCACGCGGTTCTTTTTGGTTCTCCCCTTCAAACGTAGTAGTCGGATCAGCCCCTTAGTCTAGCACTTTTTTGGCTGATCTGTGGACGTAATTGCGTTTTGATGCATCCAGATCTGGATGTAAAAGATGTCAGATACAGAGGCAAAGTCCTCATGCGACTAAGGCTTGGACCCCACAGGTTTCCGCCTAGGAAAAACTTTGCCGCGGAAAGTTTTCCAGTACCCCACAGGCTTGCGAAAAGTCCTTGGAAGGCCGTTTTCGTTTTCCAAAAGCCTGCTTCCGGAACCCCACACACCCGAAAACGCGGCCTGGGAAATGCCCCCTGTCGTGTTTTCACTCGGTTTCCGACCTGGAAACCACTGCGGGAGGAAAAGTCGCCGCGATTTTGTGCAGACTGTTGAGGGTAGGGGGGAGGGCATGTCGTTCGGAAAAGGCAGCAGCCAATAGAGATGAAGAGTGCCACAAAAAAAAAAACAAAAAAAAAAAGGGAAAAAGAACAAAATAAACGAGTGCCAACCGAAAAGGCCAGCGATTGGCTCAACTGATTTCCAAAGGGTCTTCCAAGAGCATTTTGTCCTCTGCCATGGGTTCCCGGAAAAAGCATTTCCAAGGTTTCCGAAATCGTTCGCCCGTTTTCCAAGGGAAAACTGCTTTTCCAGGCGGAAACCTGTGGGGTCCAAGCCTAAGGCCTCAGTTTGCTTTGCAAGTCTTCTGGGAAGTTCTGGCTCTTCCTCTCTCTCCCACAACCGCATGTCTGACGTCTGACTGTCGTCATCAGAAATTAGAAAACGACGACCATTGTTTTTTTTTTTTCTTTTTTTTTCTTTTTTTTTCGACGACCATTGTTGCTCACGTCCATTCTTTGTTTTTTTCTAACCACCAGTTCATACCAACTGTTCGCGTGTTCGGACCGCTACATACTGTGAGAGCACTTGGGTTCGGCGGTCCAATGGGTGGGGGTTAAAACCTGGGGCTGAAAAGTGGGGGTCCCTGCTAACCACTTGGGCTCGCGAGGCTTGGAAGGCAGTCGGAGCTTCATCAGTATGAGGCCCAGCTATCGGCAGCGGAAAAAAATGGAGTAGAAACAACGTTTCTAGTCGGATGAATTTGGGCGCTCCTGTAGCGGCCCGTACATGTCCTAAAATCGTGGCGCGTTAAAGGACACGACTCTAGGAAGTACTGGTGGACAGCCTTCAAGTTGAGGTATCATCGTCAAACAGACCGGGCCCAGATACTCATCACTACGACTTCTTAGAATGACCTCCTCTGTACCTCATTGAGGTCAGATACATCCACGTCAGTCTCTATTTCTGGTTAGATACATCCATTCCATGAAAGTCCTTTAGAGTTGTTTTTTCACTCGTCTCCGGGTCATTCCCTCAGGTTTCGAACTCGGTTCTATTAATCCTTGCAGGTACCTGCAGGTTCAGGATGTATCTAAGCAGAAATAGAACTAGGTTCTATTAATCGACAGTTCTGAGCATGTATCGGTTAGTCACATGGGTGACACGGGTTTCGTATCCTCTTTCTTTCTTTTTTTTTTTTTTTTTTTTCGGGATCCTCATTCTGATTACCTGGACGAAGAATATTCTGAACAAAAAAAAGGGTAAGCAGCATCAGGGTCGCTCTCAGACAACCGGCAGGTACCAGCAGGCCCGGCACGGGAGGGAAGTGCTGGTCCAGTATCGAGCCAGGCCCTACCGCAGTGGACCAGCAGGTTCAGTTCTGCGTCTTGAAGAACTGCGCGCACACACACACACACACACACACACACACACACACACAGAGAGAGAGAGAGAGAGAGAGAGAGAAGCGCTGTGCTGAGCTGTTTGGAGGATTAGAAGCCTATTGAAAAATGGGCATTTCAGAATGAATAGACTGGAACCTGGCGATAGGTTCAATCAAAATAGAAAAGCCCTTAGGGCTTCCTCCAAAGCCACATAATCTCTCTCTCTCTCTCTCTCTCTCTCTCTCTCTCTCTCTCTCTCTCCACACACACACAGACACACACGCACACACACAGACACACCAACACGCCTGAAGAAGAAAAACAGGACATGCAGAAAGATGACGATGCGGAGATGAAGGACGTCACTGTCAGTGGAGGAGGAGATGGTGGACGGTTGTATTACCTGTGACTCTGTGAGAGGTCTGTTGCTCCCAAGTTCCGTGAGTGCGCTAAGGGTACTAGATTTTCCGTAGCGCTACTGCTCTCCCAAATTGGACTTGTTCATACCGGGTCCTCCGAGTCCAATGGTTTGCACCATCAGGTCTCTCTGGAGTCTGGCCCAACGGGCAGCCTCTCATTTTAGACCATTTCTCGATTTATGCGTGCCATCCTTACTTGCGCAGGGGCCATTTACTAATCTACCCTTCTCTGTGTATCGTTCCAATCCTTTCAACGGTTGTCCCCAAGGACCAGCCTCTCTCTTTTTTTTTTTTTTTGTTTTTTTAGGCTCTCATTTTAACCACCTCTCGAACGTTTCGCCATATCACTAATTTCTTAGTTGTGGGCGGC